TGAGGAAAAAAGACCAAAAAAACCATGCCAAAGACTCAAAAATTTAGAAAAACGCCATTACAAATTAGCTCAGCTTCTGATGAGAAAACCTGACATAATCGATGAAGAAGGTATATGCCCCTCTTCCAAAGACCTTTTTAATATCAAAAAATTTTAAGAAAAATCTGATTATACGTCTATCTACCGTCCGAAGAAAAGAACATACATATAAATAATGTGGCTCTCCATAGACACACTGAAAAAAAGGGCTACTCAATATATAAATATATGCAATAATATACATGTTCCCTACATAGACAAATGCTGAACAAAAAGACAGTTACAAGAGCCTGTATGATAAAAACCACCAATATTCTTCATTTTCCTATATTACATCTCGAAGGGTGTTTTCCCATGAAGGCCAACTTTCATCTTGGGAAAGACTTCAATCTAAAAACCACGTCCCAATATTTCAGCATCTTTGAGTGAAACAGAGAAACCGGACAGAATAGTTTTAGCGTAAATTTTAATGGAGACCAATCGTCACTGACGTCACTCCCAGTAACACACGAGTTTGAAAAAGATTAACCAACCCACAGGCTTCCCAGCTTGTGAGTGCATGAGACCGTGTGTGTCTTAATTCAAGCATTGTCTCCAAATAAACTTGGCCACAAAACTCTCGCTTTAGTTGCTGGTGTATTTCTGTGTTCTTATGTGGCATGGAATGCATTTCTGTCATTGGGACCAACGACGTTTGATTAAAATCTGTCGGATTTATCTTTTGAGCAGGACCAAAGAAATATGCGTTTCCCCACAAAGGAAATCAATGTGTCTCTATGATCGAGTGGGGACGCTGGGTGCTGTCACTTTAAGCGGAGCAGCGGAAAGACGGGGAGCCTCCCCACCCATCACCATTGGCTGCTGACACAACTGTTGTGAGGCAAAGCCCTGTTTAAATCTTATAATCCTTGTTTATAGGATAGACTTCCAGTCACTGACCTGAGAGTTCTCACTCCAGGTTGTTAAATTACAACGTCAGTGTCCGAGGTGTCCATCGTTTGCCTTGTTTAAGTTTTCTGAGCCGAGTCTTGTAGCCAGGGCACTGCCTGGGCACCCCTGTGCACGGGGAGGAGTTTCCTCTCCCCCCAGGAAGGCGCTGGGGTTCACGGGTGGGCAGCTCTGGCACAGAACCCCCTTCCTCCAGGCAAACAGGAGGAGGAACCCTCCAGAGCAGCCCCCAGGCTGGGCCAGAGACAAACCAGGGGACCGCTTTGTGAGAAAAACATGTCCAAAACTGTCCCTCCTCTGGGGACCCACCCCCCTCCCCAGGACCCCCGCCAGAGCTGTGCTGGATAGGAAGGAAGGATCTGCCTGGCACTGTGAGGTTGTAAGATGCTCGGCTCAGAGGAGGCGTGACCGGTGCCACGTGAGTGTTGGTACCTCCGAGGTCACCGCCAGCAGAACTGCGCTAACGCACTGATGAAGCCACGCCAGGATTACCTACCCACACGTCAGCCCAGATCGCGGTCTCCCCTGCCTCTAGAGTGACGTCTGTCCGTGAAGTATGTGAGCTGCTTCTGTGTGGCCAATGTCACTAACAAGTTTCTGTGGGTAAGCTCCTCTCCTCAGGAACTTTAAAAAAAAAAAAAGTGTTGGTTTTTGTTTCTTAACTCGTGAATGTTTCTAGAAGGCATGCATGTGTATGCGTGTGCTGTGTTAACCCAGATCTGATTAGACTATTGAGTGACATCATGGGCAGAATGCCTAGCCAGGGGCTTGGAACTTGCTAGGTATTCCGTACAGGTTCGCTCATTCCTTATTTATCACTCCTTCCTCCAACGTACGTATCCTACAAATGAAATAAATAAGCACTAACACATGCATCTGCCTAGAGTTAGATACTTTCTCCTTCCCCCCGCCCCCAAAATGCACCTTACCTCACTCCTACCATCGCCAAGCTATTCCAGAATCTGGGTTTCAGAAATAAAAAATGGAAAACTTTTTAAGGATAATATATGAACTGTGTTTTCCATGTAATATCCTTCTTGGCGAACAATAGTTTCTAATTCAGGCACATAAACCTTTCTGATGATCATATCAATCAAGATGTCTTACTAGACACATTGTAAAAGAATATGTTGAAATAGAGAAAAGTTAGAAGCAACCTGAATGTTTAATAAATGTGATTTGTTTAAATACACAGTAGTAAATCCAGACAATAGAATACTTTGGAGCCATAAAAATGATACTAAATAAATAGGTGCAGCGAAAAGGAGGTATCGGGTGAGATGTACAATGAAAAAGTCTGCTTACAAAACATATATATGGGGTGCAGTTTTATTTATGTGTAAGGGTCTCCACTAGTGAAAGGGAAAATTCATCTTCAGGGCTGTTCTTAGTTTTGCTCAGTGTATCCTAATTTTTCTCTAGAATGAGTGTAAGTTACTTGTATCTATCAAAAACCAACTCAAGAAAGTACATTTTGATAGAAAACACAGTTGGGGACTTAGCTGCAAGTGTCCCCATTTAAGCCTTTTCATCTGCCATCCTATGGGACTGTGTCTTTGTCTGAGAGACGGCCTGGTGGCCTCTGGCCTGTCCCACTGTCATTTGCTTTGAACTCTACACATCTGGGTGGCAAAGCCCAAAGCTGTCTGGTACTGTGTTTTCAGTGTTTAAATATACAGAAAAATACCTAAACATTCTTCTGATCGTCAGGATGAAGCGAGAACAACCAGTCTTGAGTGTCGAAAGCAGCACTCAACCGCATAAGCGCGGCCTACGTACGAGAAAGCAAGGTCGACCCACGTCACCGGCCTGGCAGACGTGGTGTGCCGAGTGCCCTCGGCCACCCGTGCGGACTCACTTGCTGCCTTGCGTTTTCTCCCTGCTCTAACTGGAGTTCCCTGAACCACCCTTCGCTCCACTACAGACATTAAACACAGCCGTTGACCGTTTTTGAAGTTCTCATTTTCCTTCTCGCTCTGAAAGTACACGTCAGGTATTAAATAGAATAATCCATCCCAGGTTCTTGCCGTGGGCAACTGGGTAGAGGGGGCCACGTGTTCCCCCAAACAGGCAGTGCAGGAGGAGATACTGATTCGGGAAGGGGGTGGGGATCAGGGAGATAGCACATTTAACTTTCTAGGCCTAGAGCAGCTGTGAGCTATCCCAGGAAGAAACTGGACTTAGAGAATGTAAGAGCCACAGGGTAGGGACCTGGCTGGGTCCGTTCATTCATTCGGACAGGCAGCTTTCAACCTCCCCATTGCTCCGCACAGTTCTGGACGTGGAGCACTTACTGAGCATGCGTGTTGACCAATGCTCAGTCAAGTCCAGCTGACTGTGTGTTCCTGGGTGAATTTATGGGTCTGGATCTCGGGACAGTACTCTAGGCAAACACTCAATGCTCTCTAAAATTTCCTGCGCTAGGAAACCAAAGACCATTGACTCTGGTCCCCTCCTGGGGGAGAGGTTTACAAAAATCTTGCCAAGACCCCTGATGGTCTTATGACTCTTTTATTTCTTTTATTTCTCAAGGTTGTTCACTGATAGAAACGGAGAAAGGGCAAAATAAACTTTTGAAGTGGCCACACTGAGCAGAATGAATGGTAAACTGAGGCACTTTATCAAAGTGATAAATCAGAGGCCTGGGGTGAGCCTCTGGTTTTGGGTTTGTTTTTGTTTTTTGTTTTTGTTTTTTTTAATTAGACACGTGTCCTTCAAGTCGCTAGTGAAGTGGTTAAGAGAACCGAGTGCCATCGTCCAGGATGGTGGGTTCGCCACATGCATCCAAAACTCTGAAAAGCGTTGTTGCATTAGAGTGAGAAGCAGTGAGAAATGCAAACCTCAAGCAGAAACCTGGAAGAGACCCTAAGAAACAAAGAAATCCTACTGAGTGATTCCGCTACCTAGAGAAGTTGGAAGCGATCTCCCTCGCCAGAGAAGCCTGGATTACCTGCCTGGCCCTTTAAGCCAGCTCTTCATGGACAAATCAAACACAGATGGCCCATTACGTTTATGACCTCCTGTCAATTACTCTAGATGGAGCGTGCATTAATTATTGAAAGATTTTCATAGTATACAAGTTTTTAGTGGGAACATGGCCACAGATAATTTTAACTTTCTGATTAGAAGCTGGTCTGAGCAGTTTTATTTACGAGAATGAATCTCCTGAATGTGGTAAAAACTACACATACAGCAGTAGATTTTTTTTTCTTTCCATTGAACAAAGCCAACCTAGAAATGCTGGCCTCTGTCCTTAGAAGCCAGCGTTATGTTAGCATTGCATACGACACAGAAACTCTGCCAAAATCCATTGCAACTGTAGTAAATTTTGATGACTGGACTTGTTTGTTATTTATGTCTCGAAGATAAAGATAATATTGGGCATAGCCCTCTTCTACTCGAAGTATAAATTATGTCCATAAAATACCTTGTTTTATAAACAGTAAAATGAAAAAAAAAAAAGGACCAAACTTGCTTGAAGCTTCAGATTGTTGCATCTACTTAAGTTCAAGTCAGTAAACACTCGAGATGGTGTGGAAGTCTGCCGAGTGTTCAGACCTGGAACTGTGCCGCTAGCTCTCGTCTGGCATGGCACCCAGATCCTGGGGCCGTTTCACGGTCAAAGAAAACAGCACGGGCCGCTTGAGAATGTGGAGAAACAGTTTGAGGAACTTCGAGAAAGACATGTATTTTCTGTCACTCTGGAAGGAAGCCATTTCATTCAACAAATATTAACTGAGCACCTACTACACTCAGGGAAACCTCTTAGGTATTTGGAGTACAGTGGGGAACAGAGCAAAGACCTTTGCTCCTACCAGTAGAGACTCTAACAGAATCAGTCGCCTTTTGTAATCATCTTAGCACACAGAGAGACGTTACAGCTCAGGGAGGCGGGCTAAGGTACCTACGATCGCCCAGGGAGAAGGCAACAGAGCCAGAATAAGAGCTCGGGCCATCGGGGACCACACTCTTAACACACCATCTCCCTCATGCCTTTCCCATTTCCAGCTCACCTTTGCCCACCTCTGTGGCCTATCCATCTGGGTTCTTGAGAAGCTCATATATTTAAACGTAGTCAGCTGGGCTTCCTCCGGTAGAAGTCTTCCATTAGGCAGAAATAACCCCTAAAAAACACAACAAGAAAAAACAACCCACAGCGTTGCCTGTATCCCTTCCCTCAAAAATTCACTCTTGAAAGAAGGTGGAGGCAAAGAATGGGACAAATGCGATAACCATCACAGGAATGCTGATGTCACAGACCAGGGGGTTAAGGTGGCCCTGGAGGCAGCAGGCAAAGTCAGCACGCAATCGTTGGCTTCTTTCTAGGGCCAAAGCCCACCCGGCCTTGAGAACGGTGATTCTCATACATGGCAGGGCCGATGGCTGCCTGCATTCACAATGGGGGTGCACAACGAGAAGAGAGCAATCCCCCACTCCCTAGGCAGCAGCTAGGGCTGGGACGGCACAGTCCCCAACTAGAACCATGGAGATTCGGCATATGTATCAGGGGGAAATCACTACCAGCAATAGGGACCCCTCTCACAGATATTTGTAAGAAACACTGCTAACAGAGAGAATTCATGTAAACATTAATGACGTCAGTTAGATGCCGTCAATTAATGGTGGATGCTCATGCTGCCCAATTAAAAAGTGATGTACTTTTCTGCTGGTAATAATAAAACTCTCCCAAGTTTCTGTAGCAGGCCATACTTGTTTAAGATGTGTTTGCTGTGGGTGAAAAGGAGAGAGGGGGTCGGAGGTCAGGCTTCTTGTCACCTGACAGTCACCAGAGCAGCTTGAGAAGACAGTATCGTGTCCATCGGCCACACAGAGCCCGGAGCTCCAGGGCACGGGATGAGTCAGTGGTCAATTCAGCTAAAAAGGGATAACAGAGGACACCAAGTCCAAGGTGTGTTGGGGAGGAGGAGCTAAGCCCCTGGGAGAACAGAAAATGGAATAACAAGACGCACAACGCACAAGCTAGAAGTCACCCATTTCATCCAGGATTGAATAAAGGTCCAGGCAGGTACAAGGGACCCCTACCTGTGTCGTCATCCCAACCAGAATGACACTGTGACTGGTTACACAGGGTCTAAAGCTGTCATACTTACGCGATTGCACAATAGAATTATCTGGGAAGCTGGAAAAAGGGTAGTCTTCTGCTTACGGCATCAGAAACTGGGGCGGAAGGCACGGGAATCTGGTTTTTAACAAGCCCTGTTTGGAGCGCCTGGTCTAAAACTGGCCACTCAGAGAGTGGTTGGTAGTGGGGTCCCCCAGGAGCCCGTGGGCGATGGAGAATCTGAGACCCCACCAGGCACACGGACTCCCAGCACCCCAGGTGACTTCAGCTCAGCTTACCTCTGTTATCATACACTCGTCTGATGAAAACAAGGGGACGTGACACCGGCCGTTCTTGGTGAACCCCTGACAGATCCAAGTCTGAACGTCCCTCCTGCCTAATGTCCTCAACTTCCAGCCCCCTCTGCTAAAGGATCACAAAAGACCCAGTGCAATGTGGGGAAGCTCAACATCTCCTTCTCCGGCTATCAGGCGTTTCAAGCCTTTCCAAAATTCCCCTTCGGAATAGCCTGGGAGGCAGGTCAGCATTCGCACACGTGTTAATGGCCAGTGGTTTGTCCCAGCACTTCGGCAGCCCCATCCGCTAGCTTTCTTTGTCCCGTGGAAGATAACCAGCCCGCCAGGAGACCAGGAGAGGCGGCTGTGTTCACGGGAGCGGGGAATGGGGCGATGAGTTCTGTCCTGTGCTGAAGCTTCCAACCTGTGTTTGTCTCAATCAGGCTGCTTGAGTGGTATTGCAGGCAGGGGGGTCCTCCCTGCGTGTAAATGTGATGTGTCCTCTTCCGTGTTTAGGGGAGCCCTCAGCTGGTATCTTGGGATAAAGGAACAAGGAATTTTCTCCTCCTGTCCAACATTCACTCAGATAGGAGCCATGTAGCTAGGGTAACGCTCAGATTTCATACTCAGTCATTATGAGAACACTCAACGACATTCTAAGGAAACAGAACTACTTGCAAGTCTACCAGTTCATGGCCCATATGCATACCCAGTCAAGTTTGCATAAGGGTTTGCCTCTTCACTTTCCTTAAGAGTCTTTCATGAACATCTTTTCAATGTTGCTATAGAGACTTCATAGCATTTGAAAGCCCATATAACACTGCAATATCGATGCGCTACATGTATGTAATCAATCTACATATATAGTTAACTTTCAATTATTCACTATTAGAAATGAATTCTCAAAGCCAACTTTAGAAGTTTTAGAGATTCAATCCCAATATTTGGCAGTTATTCTTTAAAAAAAAAAGGAAAAGTTGGGCCATGTGGTAGGTCTTTTTATGTGCAAAAACTTTTCAGTTTCGTGAGGTTTCATTTGTTTGGTTTTTTTCTTGCCTGAGGAGACATAGCAGAAAGAAATTATTGCTAAGAGAGATATCAGAGATGCTACTGCCTATGTTTTCTAGGAGTTTTATGGTTTTGAGTCTTACATTGAAGCCTTGAATCCATTCTGAATTTATTCTTGTGTATGGCACAAAAAAATGGTCTAGTTTCATTTTTTTGCATGTATCTGCCAAATTTTTCTAACACCACTTACTGAATAGACTGTCCTTACCTCATTGTATGTTCTTGCCTCCTTTGTCATAGATTAATGGACCATAAAGGCATGGGTTTATTCCTGGGCTCTCTATTCCGTTCCATTGATCTGCATGTCTGTTTTTATGCCAGTACCATGCTGTTTTGATTCCTATGGCCTTGAAGTATAGTTCAATACCAGGTAGTAGGATAGCTCCAATTTAGTGGGAGCAGTGGTCTAGCCATACTGTTGGGAATTCTGGAAGCAATGACAAGTAAAAACATCAAATGCACAACGATATGTCCAATATAGCACATTCTAGAGGTTTGTTGAGATAGAAAAGGACTAGAAAGATGCACACCTCTGCTAACATAGGTCATAGCCAGGGAGGTGGAAAGAGCCACTGAGCTCTTTCAGGAGGACTTCAGCCTTGTCTCCCAACACTTTCCGTTTACAGGGAACATAAGTGTATGCTCATTGGCTTGTGCTTCATAGTTTATTTGAAAATTTAAAGCTCTCTGGTCCTAAAGAATTGCTTTTGCAAATAGCATATCGAAGGCATTTTTTTTTTCTCCAAACTAATTTATTTTTTTAACTCCGTGAGGCACTGGTGAATTCAGGAGTTAATGGTTGAATAGTGATAGATATAAGAGGATGGGTGGATGAATAAATGATAGATAAATAGGCAGATAGAGCAAATGAATGGATGGATGGATGATAGACAGACAGAGAAACAGACAAGCAAGCCTCCCATTGGCTGATCTGCTCTAGAACTACCGGTCTTCGGCAGGCTTACCAAGGCTATTTTGTTCAATATAACTATGCATCCCCCTCAGCTCAATAATATGGCAAAATAAATATCAAATGGCATACCATTGAATCACCAAGGCGAGAGTATCTCTACTCACGTCAATATTTAAAGGCGCGTAAAACGTCATACTTGCCCGAGATGAGCTCCTGGAACGGAGCTGATTTAAAATCAAAACTAAATCATCCCGGTTGGGATTTACTCCCTGAAACACCTTTCCAGGTTCGGAAAGAAATGAAAGCGAATTATTTTCTAAATGAGAAACTCTGTCTACAATACCTGGCTCTCGGGTTCAGTTTCCGAGGACGAGGTAGAGCTAATGCCATTTTAATGTAGTTTAGCAGATAGTGATTAGGGCGAGATCCCCTTCCGTTCCCTGAGGACTTTTTCACTTAAGAACTTGGTGTTTGGGGGAAAGGGCTGGAAGAGGGACTCTGGCACGTGAGAGAAAAAGAAAATGTTAACCCGCTGTGTAGATCCAAGAGCTGGATTAATCTTTTAAGCAATTTGAAAAGGAATCGGAACAGGAACCCTCGGAGACCGTTCAAAGAGCCGGGGATGCAATACTTGTAACAAGCCACTTCGGTGGCTTTCTAGTTATTTGGGTCATATGGCTTGGACTCCTTAATTCAGAAGTAAGTTTTAATGTGAGTCGTTTTCTTTTTCATGTGTTTTCAAAGTAATAACCACTGGAACGGGGGGTTTTAAAATATATACGTAATTTTGTGAGTCTGAAAGTCGAAGGCGGTTCGCCCTGCTGAGCACGGGAGCGTGGCTCTGGGAAAAGGGTGTTTAATGAATAACTTCGCAGTAAAAAAAAAAAAAAAGGCCTTGAAAACTTCCTCTAAACATCCGATGTGTGCTTTCTTTCTGAACTACATTAGCAGCCTCCTTTAGAAGGCTCCGAGAGGCCGGCGACCCTGTTAGGCAGGCTGCAGAAGCCCCTAGCTTTTTCAAGCCCTTGTGCGCATGCTCCGCCCTCCCCACCTCTGCCCTGCGCCGGGCCCATCCCCCTCCCCTCCCCACCCCCACCCGCACCACCCCCCGCCCCCCCAGCCGGTGTTTGGAGATCCCGTTGACTGGAGTGAGTTCTCCAGGAGAGAAAGATTGATAAAGCAGAGCAATCGGAGTTATTTCCTATGCATGAAATTGATTAAATGCTTCGCTAAATGGCTTATAAATTTGCTTCTCATATTTCTGTCACCCACTGAAAAGATTACAGAAACTCTGCATATAACCATGTTGTATACAATACCAAATTACAAAAGGTTGTAAAAACTAATGTTTTGTTTAAAGTTTTGAGCAGGACCATATGCCTTCAGTGACCTTGAGTAAGCTATTTTAATTCAAAACATTTCAAAGAATAGGAACGGGAGAAATAGTCAAGCCCTCGAAGGGCCGGAGGAGCGGGGCGGCGGCTAGACCTCGGTTAACTCTCCTGAACCTGCTCTTTCTTACAAGGGCGTGGAGTCCCCCTCCTGCCAGCGCCTGTGCCTCCCGACTTGGGAGCACATGGAAAAGAAACAAGCGCGTATTTACAGAGGAGAGGAAAACACAGCTCGCAGACCTCCCCAAAGCTGCGCTGGCTCCATTATTTTTAGTTCAGAGACACCTCCTAATGAGTTCCCAGTCTCGCACAGACTTGCAGGGCTATGGAGAAAAGATGACAAATATTAGCGCGGGTGGTGGGGGTGGTTTTATTTTTAGGTCATTTCGTTTGTTT